CTGCTACCAGGTCTTATAGGGGTTTGAATGGCCAAATGCAATAGAAATGCCTATACGAAGCTGTCATCATTAAATGTTGAAAATGAAAGACTACTTATTTGTTTCTTCAAATAGAGTACATAATAATAGGTTATATACTAGATATAGTAATCAAAACAAATAGTAACTGTCATATTTTGCACTACATTGCTCAAAGGCAATCACTGTCTGTATACTATTGAAATCTCTTTCAAAATGATGTTTTATAGTTTGTGGAAAAAAGCTAAATCTATTTAAACTAGCTTTAACTTTTACTGACCATACACTATATCAATAAGGAGTTATCTTTATGCTCGTATAGTCCCTTAAAACACTTATTTTATTTTCTCTTCATCTATGATTTACTTTGCGCTTTTCACTGAACATCTGGGATCTTTTTAGTTATTTTATTACTAGTATGTTTTTCAGATTTGTCCTTTCTTTTGCATTTTTGGGATCATTGTTTTTAGGTCATCTACATTTTATTTTGGAAAAGTAACAAATTGGACCAGGTTCAATTTCTTTACAAAAAGCCACTCTTAGTCTCCACTTCTACAATTGCTTCAATTCCCAATTGTACTCCACAGAGTAGCAAACAACAGAAAATGAATGGATAATGATAGCTGCATCCCAATGAACAAAATGTGATTACCTAAATCGAGGTTTCATCACTTTCATTAATCTAAAATGAATTAGAATTTATTTTTCTATTTTCAAATTTCTTCCATGTGCATGTAATAAAAATTGGTTATGTCTTAGGCCCTAAGGATCTGAAACCTGCTGGTCAAAATGGAATTACGGACCAGTTGCAATGTTATTCTCCTATACCCAGTGAAAAAATCAACTGGTCTGTATCAAAAATAACCTGATAATGACCAGCAGACCGGCCCTTAGGGGCTACATTGTAATGTGCTGGGAGGTTTAGGCTACAGGGTTTATACCGAGGAAAATATGTGGGGGACCATATTGGCATCATTGGTTTCAATGCATTGTACTTCTGCCTTAGTTTTGAAAGGTGATAAATTCTTTTTGAAGGGTGTCCTGAGATTCCAAAATTAAGAAATTGTACTTATTTGAGAAATTAATTTTGAAGTTTTATAAATTGAATTTTCTTTATTTTATTAAATAATATTCTTTGGTTTTTGAAGACTTTTTTACAAAGCAAAACATTATTTTTCATTCTAGATACAATAACATGCATATTGGCATACTTTGTTTTAATATAAGATTGTTATAATTTTTGTTATAAGTTTTGCAAGTCACATGACCAATTCTTAGAGAGTTGATTGGTTGAAACAGTTGATATCAGATATGACAATTTGAAATTAGAAATAAGCTGTTATTCCGGTGGGAAATTGTATCAACTCCATTTCCATAGTTTTAAAAAAGGATCTTGTAAATTGTTTCAAGGTATGATATTTCATATAAGATATCTCTAGGGTGAGACCAGCTGGTGACATACAAAAAATCAAGTTTCACATAGCAATACTAAGTAAGATACAGACCTCTAAACTTTCAAACCTTGATTTCTCAGTTCCGTAAAAATGTGAGATAGTACAAAGTTATTCTCATGCGACGACATATTGATAGCATATGTATGCATTAGGGCTGGCACGGAACGGAAATATTGTCTGAACCATCCGATTTTGCCTTCGGAAACGGAATTTCGGACCTACCTTCTCATTTATTTCCTTAAAGAACATTCACTTATCGTTATACCGACACGCTAACTCGCTATAGCGAACTAGTATTATGAAACGAAATCAATAAATATGTATAATTATTAAACATTTTCACTTGGTAAAGTTGTTTTATATGTAATAAATGATAGAAATAAATAAAGTATGATTGTTTTATATACAGGGTGGTCAAAAAAAATGGAAACCCTGTCGCCATTTTCCTCATATCTTTGTCATTTTAGGAAATTACTCCCTGATATTTAGCACATTTGTACATCATTCAATTTCCTACCGGCCTACCATATTTCATGACCATCAAATTGATAGTCACAATGTTACAGCACTTTAAACAACATGCTCCATTGGCCAATATTGCACTTTCGGCAAACCTGCACCTATCATCCAAAATGTCCCTACCTAACTTCAACCTGTGGTAATACACCAAAAATGAGTGTATGAGAATAACCCCAGGACAACAGCAGACCTCAAAAAGCAGATCATCCATGTCATTCAGGCCTTACCTGCTGAAAAATGTAGTCAGATCATTGACAACCTGTTCAGATTTGCCAATAGCGCGATGGTGGCCACACTGGGGCATCTTGTTCAAAGTGCTGTACCATTGTGACTATCAATCTGATGGTCATGAAATATGGATAGCGGGTAGGAAATTGAATGTTGTACATGTGTGTCAAATTTCAGGGAATAATTACCCAAAATGACGAAGATATGAGGAAAATGCAGGGTTTCCATTTTTTTGACCACCCTGTATATTCTGTACCTATAAGAAAAGATTATTATTGAAAGAAAGACAGTAACAGTTGTGTGCCAAGGTGCCAAGAAGGCAAGGACATTAACATTTTGCCATTAGTTTTGAACATTTATGCCACTTGTTCTGGCAGTTAGATAGTGTTAGTGTTGGTATTTAATAAACATAATACAACTTATATATATGTAGTTGTACACTGCTGTTCCAATGGTGACAAAAATGAGAACTTAAGGGGAGAAGTAGGAACTATTTTAAATAAGGTCCGAAATTCCGAAAGTTCCGAATTCCGAAGCCAAGTTCCGAAATCCGTTCCATTCCGATTCCGTTCCGTTCCGTGCCAGCCCTAGTATGCATCTAACTTATGGCTAGTGGTGGTGGGTTCAGTATTCCTGGAGCAATCAACGTTTCCTTTTAGGAAATCGAACATGTCTCAAAGCACATTCTAATTATGCATTCAACAATATAATAAAAGGTTGCATTTTTGGTGAAAATTACTCGAAAAAGTATGTTGATTGGTCCATTGCCCCTATAATATCACTTAGGTCTCATTAACTAAATTATCATTATTATAAACTTGAAGATAATGAATGAATCTACAAGATACACCCATGTTCATGATCAGAAAATATTCATAATTCAAGTTAGAATCGTTTGAAATTGTTTGCGATAACCTACGTGCTCCTTTTGAATTGTGTGTCTTATGACAACAAAAAATTAATAATACACAAGAACTGATCAAGATATTAGCTCGAATCCTTTGGATTGCTGATCATGATTTTATATCTTGTTTAATGTCAGACAATAACAACATTATGACATTTTAATTTTTGAAAAATATTGTGTTGTGTCCCTGGGAGTCAATCCTCCTTGGCTGAATGAGTGTTATTATCGCACTTTGAAAAAGTGCTATATTGTCGTCGTCTTGTGCTGTTGGGCGGGCGTGCGGGCGTGCAGGCGTTTGGTCGTGCGGGCGTTTTGGCGTGCGGGCAGGCGGGACATAAACCAAATCTTGTCATCAAATTTCCAGGATAACTGCTTACCTGTTCAACTTGAAATTTTTACAGATGCAAGAGCAGACTAGTACCAAGATCTGATTAGGTTAAGGGCATGCTGGGTAAACTATGTGGCGGCCATTTTGAATTTTTCAACAAATCTTGTCATCAAAATTTCAGGAAAACCACTTATCCGTTCAACTTGAAATTTTTACAGATGCAAGAGCAGACTATTGCCAAGATCTGATTAGGTTTTGGGTATGCTGGCTGAATTACATGGTGGCCATTTTGAATTTTTCAATTTGGCGGCCATTTTGAATTTTTCAACTTGCTCCAAATTGACCAAATTTTTTTTTTAAAAACATCTACAAGTTCTCAGAAGTTCAAATCTGACCTTAGATTTCAGATTTGACCTTTCCTTCACCTTCAGTGACCTTGAAAAGGTCAAAAAAGTTGATTTTCTAAATTGATATTTTGGATTTAAATTTAGGTCAGCTTAATTACAAAACACCTACTGAGGTCTGAAAAAGTGAAATTTTCAAGGTCGAAAGTCAAGGTCATTAAACTAGGTCACAAATGATGTTATCCAAGTTTCTCAAAGTTTGAGACTACAAATCAATTCTTGTCATCAAAATTCCAAGAAACCCGCTAACCTGTTCAACTTGAAATTTTTACACATGCAAAAGCAGACTAGTGCCAAGATCTGATTAGGTTAAGGGCATGCTGGGTAAACTACGTGGTGGCCATTTTGAATTTTTCAACAAATCTTGTCATCAAAATTCCAGGAAAACCACTTATCCGTTCAACTTGAAATTTTTACAGATGCAAGAACAGACTATTGCCAAGATCTGATTAGGTTTAGGGTATGCTGGCTGAATTACATGGTGGCCATTTTGAATTTTTCAATTTGGCGGCCATTTTGAATTTTTCAACTTGCTCCAAATTGACCAAATTTTTTTTTAAAAACATCTACAAGTTCTCAGAAATTCAAATCTGACCTTAGATTTCAGATTTGACCTTTCGTTGACCTTCAGTGGCCTTGAAAAGGTCAAAAATTTGATTTTCTAAATTGATATTTTGGATTTAAATTTAGGTCAGCTAATTACAAAAGACCTACTGAGGTCTGATAAAGTGAAATTTTCAAGGTCGAAGGTCATCAAATTAGGTCACAAACAATGTTATCTAAATTTTCCCAAAGTTCAAGACTACAAATAAATTCTTGTCATCAAAATTGCAGGAAAACCGCTAACCTTGTCAACTTGAAATGTTTACAGATGTAAGAGCAGACTAGTGCCAAGGTCTGATTAGGTTTTGGCCATGCTGGGTAAATTGCATGGTGGCCAGTTTGCTCTTCAAAGTGCGATATTTATCACTGTGTGTCTTGTATTGGTATTTTATATTAGTACATTTTTAATGAAACTTTACACAATATCAAACCACATAAAGTCCTGAACAATTTAAAGTTATTTTGTAGGTGAACCTTAACATGGTGATTTTGAATTTATTTTACTTATTATTAATTTAACATGTACAAACTTTTTTCAGACAAAGAGACTTCCAGCAATGGGTACAACTACTGGCAGGTTGTCATGCCTGTTGGACTATCGCTGTGCATCGCACTATTTCTTTGTGTATTAATACTCTGCATGAGAAGTCTCTATAAAAGGAAACAACGGAGGAGACGAATGCAAGCCGCCCGGTCCAACCTGTCAACAATAAACAGATCAAGTAAGGAAAAATTGAAGATTTGAATAAATTAATTTTGGATTTTACATTCTGATTTATTATGTAGAGAGTTCTATTAATTCTGTTTCAATTTGTCAGCTTGAAAAGGGTCATTTTTTGATTTCCTATTTACAGCAGCTATGCTAGTATAACTAAAATGGGTGGCATCATAGTTGAGTGTATTACAAATAAATCCATATAATAGGCTTGGTCGATAAAAATAATTTTAAAATAAAGATGGCATGGTACTCAATCTGTGTTTATTTATGCACCATCCAAAAGTTCGCTTATGACTTACATATGACCAATAGAGGAGCAGCTTTTTGAATTTTTGGTTTTACTACTGGTTTGTATCTGTTCAACAAAAGTGGAGAACAGACCTATATGAACGGTCATTTTTGTGGAATGGGTGGGCGGATTGTTGTGTTTGATGGGTACAAATCGGGAACAAATCCACATCGTAGTAATTTTTGAATGGTTGTAATTTATGCAATGGCGTATTTTAAGATATTGGCTTTTTACTTTAATAGGTTAACTCCATCCATTTTATTCATCTATAAATTAATTAAATTAAAATTTGTTCCAACATAAAAATTTTCAAAAATTAATTTAAAATTAAATAAATCATATTAAATCAATTAAATTATGACAAGCTTATCAGTATAAGTAGAATGCGAAAGTGCATTTTTCGAAGGAAGGGCGAAACAAGCTTGACAAACCAATAATTAAGACACTGCTCAGTATTATTCTAGAATTCCTCTCTCCACGGTTATTCTCTGCAATTCCATCCCTGAAACTATACCCAACGTGTAGATGAGTTATTCTTCTGTTCCCGATATGAGGGATCTTTAGTTCACTGAATATCATTTGCAAATCCTGAGAATCTTAAAGTGTATACTGGACGTAACAAATTCAGTCAAAAATCCCCATTCCCAGGCACATGTAAATCAAATTCCTCACTCCCGGGGCGACAATCTTCTTCAAATTCCTACCCCTGGGGGCAATATTGTGGATCAAATTACCAGCCAATACCTGAACAAATTATTGGTTAAGTCATTATAAAAGATAAGGAGACATCTGAGATATTGTTCTGGACACAAACTGTGACCCGGAGGTCCCATTTCATAGCTATATCTATCCATTTAAAAAGAAGCATAAATAACCCTGTGTAATTTTCCAAAGTAGTCACAAGTGTGTACATGTATCTTCCACTTCAGAAGCATTCTATCCACTTACAGATGTATTCCAGGGTTAATTATACTTAACATTATTCAGCTTTTAGACAACGTTCTAGTTTCTGAACTCTGGTATTCCGAGAACTTTGGTATTTTATCACATTTGATTTTTATATGTTAGATTCATGTGCAAGTGGTCTTAATACTTTCATTCAGTCTGCCATCTATTAGAATATACTGTAGATTTAAATATTTTATGTCCACAGAAAGGCCTCCCATGGTGTTGGCAACGAAACACATCATGATTTATTATCTGCAGTAGGTGTTTACAGATACATGTTTCATTGTAAAGCATAACTACAGGATGTTTATTGTGATTCTAGTTTCAGTATCACTAAGGGCCTCTTATTCGCAGTCACAGAAGGCCATTGTTGTCTTTGATAGGTTAACTTTAAAATAGAACAAGGCATTGACATGACAAAATGTCACCACCAGTTATTTGATAGGTTAACTTTACCCGTTCCAACAGGGGCTCTTCTCGGTATGAGCAGACAAACACTGATCAGTTTTTATGTCTTATAGAAATAGTACTGTTATGGAGGTTTTCATGTCTTATAGCAAGCAATGTTATGTAGGTTTTCATGTCTTAAAGCAATAGTACTGTTATGTAGGTTTTCATGTCTTATAGCAATAGCACTGTTATGTAGGTGTTCATGTCTTATAGCAATAGTACTGTTATGGAGGTGTTCATGTCTTATAGTAATAGTACTGTTACGTAGGTGTTCATGTCTTATAGCAATAGTACTGTTATGTAGTTGTTCATGTCTTATAGCAATAGTACTGTTATGTAGGTTTTCATGTCTTATAGCAATAGTACTGTTATGTAGGTTTTCATGTCTTATAGCAATAGTACTGTTATGTAGGTGTTCATGTCTTATAGCAATAGTACTGTTACGTAGGTTTTCATGTCTTATAGCAATAGTACTGTTATGTAGTTGTTCATGTCTTATAGCAATAGTACTGTTATGTAGGTTTTCATGTCTTATAGCAATAGTACTGTTATGTAGGTTTTCATGTCTTATAGCAATAGGACTGTTATGTAGGTGTTCATGTCTTATAGCAATGGTACTGTTATGTAGGTGTTCATTTCTTATAGCAATAGTACTGTTATGTAGGTTTTCATGTCTTATAGCAATAGTACTGTTATGTAGGTTTTCATGTCTTATACCAATAGGACTGTTATGTAGGTTTTCATGTCTTATAGCAATAGTACTGTCAATAGGCTTTAATGTCTTATAGCAATAGTACTGTTATGTAGGTGTTCATGTCTTATAGCAACAGTACTTTTATGGAGGTTTTCATGTCTTATAGTAACAGTACTGTAATGGAGGTTTTCATGTCTTATAGCAATAGTACTGTCAATAGGCTTTAATGTCTTATAGCAATAGTACTGTTATGTAGGTGTTCATGTCTTATAGCAACAGTACTGTTATGGAGGTTTTCATGTCTTATAGTAACAGTACTGCAATGGAGGTTTTCATGTTTTATAGCAATAGTACTGTTATGTAGGTTTTCATGTCTTATAGCAATAGTACTGTTATGTAGGTTTTCATGTCTTATAGCAAAAGTACTGTTATGTAGGTTTTCATGTCTTATAGCAATAGGACTGTTATGTAGGTGTTCATGTCTTATAGCAATAGTACTGTTATGTAGGTGTTCATTTCTTATAGCAATAGTACTGTTATGTCGGTTTTCATGAGTTATAGCAATAGTACTGTTACATGTATGTAGGTTTTCATGTCTTAAAGTAATAGGACTGTTATGTAGGTGTTCATGTCTTATACACTGTAGCAATAGTACTGTTATGTAGGTTTTCATGTCTTATAGCAATAGTCCTTTTACGTGGGTTTTCATGTCTTATAGCAATAGTACTGTTATGTAGGTTTTCATGTCTTATAGCAATAGTACTGTTATGTAGGTGTTCATGTCTTATAGCAATAGTACTGTTATGTAGGTGTTCATGTCTTATACCAATAGGACTGTTATGTAGGTTTTCATGTCTTATAGCAATAGTACTGTTATGTAGGTTTTCATGTCTTATAGCAATAGTCCTTTTACGTGGGTTTTCATGTCTTATAGCAATAGAACTGTTATGTAGGTTTTCATGTCTTATAGTAATAGTACTGTTATGTAGGTGTTCATGTCTTATAGCAATAGTACTGTTACGTAGGTATTCATGTCTCATAGCAATAATACTGTTATGTAGGTTTTCATGTCTTATAGCAATAGTACTGTTATGTAGGTGTTCATGTCCTATAGCAATAGTACTGTTACGTAGGTTTTCATGTCTTATAGCAATAGTACTGTTATGTAGGTGTTCATGTCCTATAGCAATAGTACTGTTACGTAGGTTTTCATGTCTTATAGCAATAGTCCTTTTACGTGGGTTTTCATGTCTTATAGCAATAGAACTGTTATGTAGGTTTTCATGTCTTATAGTAATAGTACTGTTATGTAGGTTTTCATGTCTTATAGCAATAGTACTGTTATGTAGGTGTTCATGTCCTATAGCAATAGTACTGTTACGTAGGTTTTCATGTCTTATAGCAATAGTACTGTTATGTAGGTGTTCATGTCCTATAGCAATAGTACTGTTATGTAGGTTTTCATGTCTTATAGCAATAGTACTGTTATGTAGGTGTTCATGTCCTATAGCAATAGTACTGTTACGTAGGTTTTCATGTCTTATAGCAATAGTACTGTTATGTAGGTTTTCATGTCTTGCAGCAAAAGTACTGTTATGTAAGTGTTCATGTCTTATAGCAATAGTACTGTTATGTAGGTGTTCATGTCTTTTAGGAATAGTACTGTTATGTAAGTGTTCATGCCTTATAGCAATAGTATTGTTATGTAGGTTTTCATGTCTTGCAGCAAAAGTACTGTTATGTAAGTGTTCATGTCTTATAGCAATAGCACTGTTATGTAGGTGTTCATGTCTTATAGCAATAATACTGTTATGTATGTTTTGATTGTAGGTCCAGCAGGGGCTGCACCAGGTACAGGGAGACAGACACAGATAAGTTTCTCTATCACATCAACTGAGCTGGGCTTTGACATGCCAGACAGACAGGCACCTCCGAGCTATGATGATACCATGAGATATGAGGGCAATGTAAACATGGTATGTCTTTAATAAATCTCTTGCTTTTTCTGCACTTAACATTTCTAGATCTCAAAATGGCATTTTGGCATCGCAGGGAATACTCACTTATTACAAAACACTTATTCCAAATGGTTACAACAAAAATCTTTTATTCTGTAGTCTAATGCATAAAGGATGATCCAGAATTATTATCAAAGATTGTGCCACTTCAGTCACCTGAACCAATCATTGAAACTTGGAACATACATAACATTTGAATTGTTCAAAATAAAGCCCCCATCAAATTCATTATTTATTTGGTTTCAGGCCTTCAGTAACTCGATGGGCAGATTAAACCTGGATGATCTGCCACCACCACCTGCCTACACCCCCCTGAATGTAACAGCCACTCAAAACGATGACAATTCTGAACCACCAGTGGCTCCCACTAGATCTGAAAGAAGAAGGCGGCGTAGAAGTCGTTCCCGAAATACAAACTCGGAATCATCTGAGGCAATAACTTCAGAAAATAGACCTAAGAGGGGAGTAGAAATGGCAGTTCAAACTGAAAATATCAGTGATTATGATAATGCTCCAAAAGATAGTGCTGAAGGTGACCCAGATCAAGTAGAAATCACTGTGGCAGCCAATAGCCCAGCAGTGCCATCTACAGGTGCCCTGAGGAAGATTAAAGTTGGGAACATCTCAAAGTATATAGGACGTAATGAGACAATGTTGCTTGATAAAGATGGCAAGATGATCCCTAATGTGAAATACACTGTTAGCCCTGTTGAACCACATTCAAGTGACACTGATATCTCTGCTACTAACGTACATGGATCACTTGATAGAGATAAATGTAAAACTGTTGACAACCTAGAAAACGTTAGTGATGAGAATTGTGATGGTGTAAAATGTAAAAGTGAAGATCCCAATAGTGATGTTCTTATATTGGAGGCCAGTAATGATATTAAGAATCCTTCTCAATCAAAACAAAGAAGCAGTAGTGAACAAGCACTGAAAACTCTTTTTGACTCAAATGATCAATCCCTGTCTGACCTTGACCCTTCGAAGCAGACGGATCCATCAACAAGACCACCAACTCCACCTATATCGAAATACCCAACATTGGGTAGAAGTCAGAGTGAACATTCCATACCCCAGTTAGGATATCCTACCCCCACGGGATCAAGTGGGTCTATCCCAAGGGTGTCCTCTACTGGGAAGCTTTTGCATTCCAGTCATAATTTAGTTGGTTGTGACAATCCAGCATTTAGTGCAGTGCTTGATAAGCAATATTTGAAGTTTAGTTCAGACATATCGTTGTCAGATGATGAGTGTACTGTGTGAGATATGAAAGCCAGTCAGCGAAGATTGTACATGAATGAACATATAGCATCTGTATAATGAGTATACAGTATATATTTACAGTACCAATGACCTTCCAAGAAGGAACTGGGTGTTGAGCCCAGTTCAGAATTTAAATACCTGTTTATGAGATAAAAATATATTTTCACACATGAAGTATAATATGAAAATATAACTTGGAGGTGACCAATTTAAATTTAAATATGGTTAAATGGATTAATTATTGAATTAAAGTACATCAAAAGAAATGAAAATGGAACCCAACCTCACACGGATATTCAAGCATGTCTTCGTTTCCCCCTTTCACGTACCATTCCAATCACTAGTCCAAAAAGTTATGTAATGAAGCATTATTGAATTTAATGAATAAATGTATATTTGACTCAGGTAATGAATTTTATTTTGACGATTATGAAGCTGTATGAAACATACAGTAAAAAGAAGTGAAGTAAAAACCAAGCTATATTTTGCATATAGGATCTATATTTTGCTAACAGTATAATGGTTGAAAGGGAAAATAAAGTCACCCATGTTATAGTGGGGCTTTCATAAATCTCTGTCATGCACTTCGAAGAAGGCTTATTTTTCCTGATATGACAGTTTATTTTACATTTATTAATCAATCAATTAATTCATTAATCATTGTGCCAGTGAAACATTTTGTTCATCTTGAGCTTTGGATTATTTAAACATGTTCTTTATACATTTATTTAAATGTCAATAAAAGTTATTCATTGCATACTAACATGTTTTCCCTGGGAAATAGACAGAGAGTAGAATTGATATTAAAAAACCATATCAAATCCCACATCAGCCAAAATCACATATTGGATCCTGTATTAGCCAAAACCCAGAAGTATCAGAACTATTCCTGGGGATTTTATGGTTTGGAATTTGAAAAATTGCAACAAGCAACTAGTCATCACATGACATGCAAAACAAACAAATAAGGTTCAGAAAAAATATTATGGAATAAATAGGTTATTGATGGTCGTAATGAAATGGAATATGTTTTTTTTTCTTGAGAACATATGGTTCCTCTCAATAAAATTCATATTCCATCCCTCCCATTAGATAACCTCTATATTTTGGCTGAATCATTGTTTCAGCTTAAGGTAGGTCCACATGGTGAGAATTTGTATGTTATTTTCATGATTATCATTACTAATAATTAATGAAATAATTAATTAAGTTATTTTAAAATACATGTACACTCATAGTTTAATTTAAGATCAAAATATTCCTATTAAATGTCGAAATGACATTTCTAATTTTTTAGTTTTCTACTATTTTTGACAGTGCAGAAATACCTTAAGACTGAAACTGCTCCTGTAAAGCTAGATGTTGTAAAATAAAGCTGAAGTATTGTATTTATTGTATTCTATTGTACATGTATGTATTGTAATGATATTTATCATAAAACCTGTTTGTTTGTTATCACTTTTGATTGTGAATACTTGCAGGGCTTAGTATGTAGAAATATGCAAGGAGGGAAACCATTAAATCAAAGGGAACCTCATATGAAACATCAGCACAAGAGAGCAAATTGAATGAGTGTTGTGTCAGAATATCTGAATATTTTTTGTAAGAATTTAATGAGACAAATGTCCAAATTCATCTTTTTTGTTTGCCTCATGTCAGACTACACTCCTGACTTATTTGATCTCATTATTTGATGGCTCCATTGATATTTATGTCATCCAACTTTTTAAAGTGACTATCTTGTAAAACAACACATGGACAGTTTAAGCCTACTGGGGTTTCACTGTAGGTTTCACTTAAAGGGCCAGCAGAAAATGATGTTGCCTCATGAACTCATATGATGTTATTGTAATCTTTCAAGACTCTTGGAATAGTATTCTTGAACTACAGCATTATTAATTTATGTCCAATTCTACGAGTTACAGCCTAATATGATGATAGTACTATATAAAGTCACGAAAATTACCTACTTTTGTAATTTCACCTATTTTGAGATAACCACTGTTTGACAAAAATGATAAAACTAGTCAAGAGTCTTTCAAAAGGTAGTCTACCAGAAACCCAATTATGTATTTCTTGGCATTGAAATTGTGTATAGGTTTTCATTGACAATATGTCTTAACTCATTCAATACTGGGGCAAAAAGCACTATAATACTGACGATATTTTGAAAATTGCCATATATGGTACCTCTGAAATAATATGTATTGTATATACATGGGCATACATATATAGTGTTATATATCATTTTAAAGCATATGATATACTCTTTCAGAATGAATAGTTTTTTAAGTCCCATTTTATAAGTTGTCATGGTTACAAGATTCCCAAAAATACATTGGGTTTGTGCTTGGACTTGATATCACGTCCTTATTAGTCATTGTATGTGCTTTATGACGTCTATACAATGATGAAACTATGGCAAAATGGCCATAATAAGGCATTTTAATCCATTCCTAAGTGGTTGCTAGGCAACAAGATGACATCATAAGTTCTTAACCACTTTATATTCGAGGGGGGTACTATACAGGACATATGCGCCACGTTTTGTTTTCTAACGTCTAAATGGTTTGGTAGCAAACAGGCATAGACATACACACACAGAGAATCAGTAAATTGTAGTAAAATGCGATTAAATATGGATTCAGCATTTTACCATAGTGTAGCCATGGGTTTAAGAGGCTCTAGAACAAAAGTGTATTAGTGTTATGTAACATCAAAGGTATCACTGGAAAGAGCACATTAACGTGAACAAAAATAATCTCATTTTATTTGATAAGAATATTCACTAAGGTATTTAATTGACATTGATGTGGAGCAATTCGTTAAATATACCTTAAAATGGGAATTTAAGGATATTATGACGTCATAATTGCCGGGTGAACAATTGAAACCGACTAAATAATACATAGGGTGACGGGACATTTTATTATCTTCAATATGGTACCAATATCATTAAAAATAGTTAAAAATTAAAAAAGTTATGGGCAATATTGTGTTTATCATTCTTTATGGCTAATGAAAAGTGGGCGTGGCACTTTGCATCCGTTTCCATGGTAACGGGCCATTTTTCAAAACTTTTCATTGTCATATTTGGAATCTACATATCAATATTATGAAAGTACAACATGTTTTGAGCGGTTGCAGTCAATCTTAATTAAAGTTCCATATTTGACCCTGCTCCCACTCGCCTACAAGTCCTTAGTAGCGAATGAGTTAATATTGTAGTCAAAGATCACATATTTACTTGGTTGTGGATTGTATTTTACTTTAATCATGTTTTTATGTGTTATTTAATGTATAAATTGTATTTAAAAACTCCATTCCCCACCTATCTTGCTTCAGGTTATTCTAAAGGGGAGCAAAGAAGTCTTGTATCTTGTAAAAGGGACCAGGCTTCAGAAATCTTGTACTAGACTAGTGATATATTTTATACTTGTACTGTATTAAAACAAATAAGGTATGCATGAGAAATAAACTATTTCTCCATTATCGCATTATTTTGTCATATACATGAACTTGTTGGTTCGTATTACAATTATACATGAACTACCGGTATAACAAAAACTAGAATATTCAATTAGCCCTTCAGAAAAATATTGTTTTTTTTAAAAAATAGTAGGCGAACAAAGGTCAACTTGACATATGTCTATTATTTCTCAAATAAAAGAAATCAAGGTAAAGGCTTTTCTAATACTCCTGCACTTTCAAAGATAGCAGGTATCTCAAAAACCCTTTGAAATCAATAAAACGTGCAATATAATGATTCTGAAAACATTATTGAAAGAGTGATTGTTCAAAGAATACAGCCAATATAGATCCTTGTATTGGAACTGCCTTGTTTCATTTTGAAGATATTTCATATGCCAAGCTGTGTACTAATACGTTATGAGGAAAATATGTCAATTTTATATCCACAAATAGAAGATCCTGAAACTTCACCCATAAATGTGAAATTGATTTGTCAAAATAAAAATCTCCCTTTTATAAATGTGTGACGATCTATATTATACTAATTGTATATAACAGTGAGAGGTGTTGACACAACGACCTCGAGGTGTGAACCCCTCAGTATTATTCCGGGATCAGGCCTTTTATACTAAAAGGCGAGCAACACCAGAAACCAGCGTTCGATTTGCCAAAAGATATGCATCACCATTTAACTGACAAGTATTGGTTCCTGCATTTAGGAGATGTGTCCCTTTAACTGTTGAGTACTACTTCCTGCATCTAGGAGCTATGTCCCTTTAACTGCTGCAACCATTCTTTTGAATCCTGCAACTAGGAGCAATATCCCCTTTGACTGTTGCATCCATTGTGTTGATTACTGCACCTAGTTTAACTGCTGCACCCAGGGTATTAATTTCTGCACTTAAGAGCAATGTCCCTTTTCAAGTGCTGCACCCATTGTATTTATTCCTGGATCTAGGAGAATGTCCCCTTTAATTACTGTACCCATTATCTTGATTCCTGAATCTAGGAACAATGCCGCTTTAACTGCTACACCCTGACTATCTATTCTGCATCTTGAAGATGTGTCCCTTTAATTACTGCACTCAGGGTATTAATTTCTGTACCTAGGTGCAATGTCCCTTTAACCATGGGCTTTCAATTAGTAACTGCTACACCTGGAGTATTGATTCCTGCATCTAGGAGCTATGTCCCTTTAACTGCTGCATCCATGGTATTGATTCCTGCATCTAGGAGCAATGTCTCTTTAACTGTTACACCCGGAGTACTGATTCCTGCATCTAGGAGATGTGTCCCTTTAACTGCTGAGTATCACTTCCTGCATCTAGGAGCTATGTCCCTTTAACTGCTGCAACCATTCTATTGGATCTTGCAACTAGGAGCTATGTACTTTTAACTGTTACACCCGGAGTACTGATTCCTGCATCTAGGAGATGTGTCCCTTTAACTGCTGAGTGTTACTTCCTGCATCTAGGAGCTATGTCCCTTTAACTGCTGCAACCATTCTTTTGAATCCTGCAACTAGGAGCAATATCCCCTTTGACTGTTGCATCCATTGTGTTGATTACTGCACCTAGTTTAACTGCTGCACCCAGGGTATTAATTTCTGCACTTAAGAGCAATGTCCCTTTTCAAGTGCTGCACCCATTGTATTTATTCCTGCATCTAGGACAATGTCCCCTTTAATTACTGTACCCATTATCTTGATTCCTGAATCTAGGAACAATGCCGCTTTAACTGCTACACCCTGACTATCTATTCTGCATCTTGAAGATGTGTCACCTGGAGTATTGATTCCTGCATCTAGGAGCTATGTCCCTTTAACTGCTGCATCCATGGTATTGATTCCTGCATCTAGGAGCAATGTCTCTTTAACTGTTACATCCGGAGTACTGATTCCTGCATCTAGGAGATGTGTCCCTTTAACTGCTGAGTATCATTTCCTGCATCTAGGAGCTATGTCCCTTTAACTGCGGCAACCATTCTATTGAATCCTGCAACTCGGAGATGCTATATTTTGTATCATTCAAAATACGAACACTCATTTGAAAACTTTTATCCGTTCGTTTATTCAAAACATTTTTGTTCATGTTTAAGCAGCAATGACCTACATTTATAAAATTAGGAAAAACAAAAGTTGAACACGAAAATGACAACGTTAAAGCCCCCAAATAAGCCACGGTTACGTAGGGTGGTCAGTTACAACCAGGTTGATGATGCAAACTCTTTGGAAAAGAAAGAAAAAATGAATCAACCGGATAAACCGTAAGTACTGCAATTTATTATACCCGGAAGTTCAGAATAATCGCAATTTTGCATTTAAAAATTTGTAGGAACACTCATCGATCACATGTACATGGACACGTTTACAGTGCGTGAAGTAATTTGGCTCATTAGGTGGAGAAAAGGATATCATGTTGTACCTTCATGATGGAATATATCCTTTTTTTGTTGAGAGATAACAAATCAGAAAAACAATGAGCGATAACAAACAGTGATTCACAGTCTTCCTTGCAATTTCCTTGACAACTTTGACTCTGAAAAGTTAGAGACTTATTCAATAATATTCATCAAGTGCCTACTTATTAGTACGTAATAGGGTCCTTTACATTAACATCAGTTGTTGTGTTGCATAAACCGCTGTTTCCGCGGTAGTTTCTCGTACTGTAAATTCACTTTGTGCTCTCTCATGTGCTTTAATTCTCACTTGTTGCGCATAAATTCCCCATAAATTTGGGATTGATTTTTCAAATCACCCCATTAGCTTTATTTTGTACATCATGAAGTACATGTAAACACAAATTGATAGAAATAAATGTTGATCATGTGTTCAGCAAAATTTAATCAAGACTTTCAGAACTTGTGAGAAAGTGAGTCCGTTTTACAGTTGATTTAATTTCTCTTGGATATTGTGCTTATGCTCAATTGACACATCAAAGTCTATATGCTGTCATTCATGAATGTTTACTTCATCTTAAATAAGACTTTTCTGATTGTACATCGTAAAACAACTGCCAATGTCGCCTAGGTTTCTCCCCAAGACAATCAGTGATGTCCCATTATAATTGCTCATATAATATCTTACTACCTAAAATATATCTTGAGAACAAATTGAGGGCACAGTATTGCCGATATAATTGAAGAAAATCAACAGAACAACCATAAGAACAACCAACAGCAAAATTCACCTTTGGACCATTTGGTAGCTTTATAAATAATTTCAGGTGTCCTGCATTGTAAAAAGCCATGTCACTTTAGAGAGTACTTTATGAAATAATTTTCTATACATTTGTTTTTATTTTCAGCCATTTTAGTTAACATTAATTTGTTCATCTGTCTCTCAGTCAGTCCACAATAGTGGCACGGTTTACAATATCTGTCGATAGGATTCCTGTTTTAAGTTATTTTTTATTCAACATCAATACAGAAAACCCCCCTATAACTCCTGGTTCATAAGCTCACCTCTTTTCAAAATGGTCGCCATTTTTGTCTCGCAGAATTCTCTTTTGGACCATTTGGTAGCTTTATAAATAATTTCAGGTGTCCTGCATTGTAAAATGCCATGTTGCTGTAAAGAGTAGTTGTATGAAATAATTTTGTTCCAAAAAATCTGCAAAAAAATATATCATTCTTTTGTCTGTTTGTCCATTTATTCTTCTGTCTGGGCGATTACTCAAATACAGATTGACAGATTTCTATTTGATTCAAATTTTAAAGGCTTATGCCTTATGGGTGTAGGACTTCTGCTTAAAAGGGAATTTCCAATATGGCTGCTCAATTCAAATGGCTGCCATTATTCGTAAAATGTGTAATCTTTGATTACTCAAATACTAGTTGAGAGATTTGGTTCAAATTTTATATGCTGATGCTTAGGGATGGATAAAGGACCTTTGCTCAAGAAGAGATTTTAAGATGGCTGCTAAAGGACCATTAGTTGTTTGTAAAATGAATCTGAGTTTTTTTTCATGGATTTCGCTTGTGTTTTTCATCTAAATAACACCTTATTTGGTTGTGATATAAACTAAAACAACCCAATAAGGTGTGTTTTAAAGATTAATTTTCATGTTATCTCAAAACCTACTTGGAACTATACCATTGGATTTATATAGGAAATCTCTCCAGGAGAATATTCTAGGGATTGAATAATGTGTATATAGTTTACACAATTTGAGAAATTATTGGCATACATTAAACCTATTTAAAACAGCATTTATATTATTCAAAAGTGTTCGTAATCAATGATTCCCAGCCCTCTGAAGTTTGAAAAATCAAAATACCTGGATGTTAATATAACAAAGCCAAAACCAAAACCTTTAGAGGAAAGAGTATGTAATATTTGTAAAGATGTAGAGGATGAATGTCATTTCTTTTTAGCTTGTACAAAAAATGATGAGAATAGGCAAATATTATATACAAAAGCCCGTGAAATTTTACCTAACTTGGATTTACAAAGTGAAAATTTATTTGTCAATCTTATTTCTAGTAAAAATGTAACCTTGCAAAGACATATTGGCAAATTCATTTACCATTCATTTAAGAATTTAGCATGGTCATAATGCATTGTGTGTGCACCACACTATTATTGTTACCTTATATATTTTTATATATTTTTTGTATTTTTAGTTTAGTTGGTGTTTTGTAGTTTAGATATGTAGTCTACCATAGTTCTGACTAATGTAATCATGTTATGATACTATATGTCAATAAAAGTTATATATATATAATCCATAGATAATCTTTAAAAATGAGAAATATTTTTTGGGATTATATGTGCAATCTTATAGTCAATGAAATGTTTTCAAGTGTAATGATGTTTTTTAGATGAAAAACACAAACAAAATGCATGAATAAACCCCCAATTTATTCTACAAACAAAATTAATGCAATTTTTGAAAAAAATGAAATCTTTCATGACAAACGACAGTGGATGGATTTGGTTGAATGTTGCTGATGCCTATAGCGAGCGACACAGGAGCTCTGCTCCAGAGGAAGTTTTCAAGATGGCAGCTGAATTCCAAAATGGCCACCATTTTTTGTAAAAAAACATAATCTCTGATAACTCAACCAGTAGACAGATTTCGTTCAAATTGTATATATTGATACTTAAGGGTCCTGTTCAAGAAGAAATTTTCAAGATGGTGGCTATTATCAAAAATATGTTTTGTTGTTAGTGAAATTTGCTACTCCAAGCAGTTGCGGTTTTCTAGTTGATCCAAGCTAAATTAAAAGGTGGATTGGATTGAGAAGATTGGATTCATGTAAAAGGTGGATTGGATTGGGAATCTTTAAAATATGGAATTTCTTCTGTTGATCCTCCTTTAAGCAATTTCCCTCTAAAGTATTTTGTGATCACTTGGGTCCCTTTGGGGAATCAGAACAAAGCAACGGCAAATACATGCTCCTATTGATGGATATTCTTAAGTACTGTATAACATGAAATATTGCCGTGGATATAAAGTTGCCGATTGCCGAATGTAAAACAGAAACGGCAACATAAAATTCGGAAATATAATTAAGTAATTGAAGATCGATCTTAGTGGGCGATAATATGGTAGTTGTCTAACGTGCGTCAACTTACTGTAATAGGGTAATTTTCGAACGAGTATCAACGATAAAATCGAAGCTTTATTCCCCAGCATAAAATTACAATAAAAAGTTAATAATAAAAATGTTGCAGTTAAAATGCATGCAGTAAAATCTATAAAATATTAAAAGGATTGTCATGTTAAAGAGTTAAAATGTCAGAAGATCTAATTGTATCCAAGTGCTTTGGAAATCCCAGTATTAAAACTTTTTAATCCCAATATTAAAAGTTTTTAATCCTGGTATTAATTTACCTAAGTCTATGGGATACAGGTATTATGTGAATAAATCACTCAAATTGTCACTCATTATGTCAGGATGTCAGGTTTTCTGAGTCAGTCAAAAGAAGGTGATTAGAATTCAGTTGTAAATCAAAATTATATTAGGGGTGTCAGCTTAGCAATATTTTATTTTTTGGCTTTACATTTAGGGGTGTCTGGACGGCAAACTTTTATTCGGCAATAACAATTTTAATCCAATTCGGAAAATAAAGCATCCGGATTTAAAACATGTTATACAGTATTTAACTGCTTTCCCCTATAAATCAACTTTAATATTTTGTTGGACATAATAAACATTTATGTAGAGAAAAACTTCTATTCAGATTGATGCGTGGATGTTTCCAAAACATTTCTATGTTGTGACTGTTTGGACTGAAAACTGGTGAGAAGGATTTTTAAAGTATCCTGCCTTATGATTCATGAAATGTCTAAAATTACCCTCTGAATGAATAAGATTATATATCAGAAAGTGGGTAGCAGGTCTCACCCTTCTCTCCCACTCAAGCAAAATAATATAACTTCTATTATTTGACATTTTGGAAGTGAGGAAAGCACCAATCTTCTGAGAGGGAGATTAATAGAATTTTTTAAGGAAAATACATATTCTGAAGATTCCTGATCCAATCCACCTTTTACATGAATCCAATCCCCCGATCAAATTCACCTTTTAATTTTTACCAATACTCATGTTTTCAATTGTATAGCTACTATTATTTTGCATGGGTGGGCTAGAAGGGTGACCTGGTACCTGCTTTCTGATACACCATTATATCTAAGCGTAATTTTAGACTTTTCATTATTTATAATGTTGTTTGAAGATCCATATCATCTGTTTTCAATCCAAACTGAACATAGCAGATATGTTTTGAGAAACACACATCAATTTGAATGACAGCTTTTATCTACAGAATTATGTTTTACAAAAGTACATTTACAAGGGAAAACAGTTAATACTTAAAGAGGGACATGGGGTATAAATAGGAGGCAGACTAATGGAGCAGCCAAAATAACTGGATTTTTTTGATTTGACAGCTTAATTAATAGCTTCACCCTGGGTTTCTACTTAACAGAAATTTAGGCCTTAAGAGTATCCTTGAACTAATTGGAGTATGTATTTGTCGTTGCTTTGATCTGATTTCTGAAAGGGACCTGTAATACTGTAGAAGGAAGTTGCTTAGAGGGAGATCAACAGAAAAAATCTTATTAAGAAAGTCCATATTTTGAAGATTCCCGATCCAATACATGAATCCAATCCACTCAATCTAATCCACCTTTTAATTTCTACCTTGTACAAAATTATCATGAACTTTTCATATAGTGGGGGGAATTTGCTGGAAAATATTTCAGTTGGTGATACAAGCAAATTTAATGGCTTAATCTGTTATTTATGTTATTAGGAAA